CCAACCCCATTCTGCCATGCAGGAACTCAAAATCAAAGCATCCCTGACAGATGGCCATCCAGCCTCTGCTTAAAGACCTCCAAGGAAGGAGACTCCACCAAAATCTCCATTAAGGGAGTGTGTTCCACTGTCGAACCGCCCTTACTGTTAGGAAGTTCCTCCTAATGTTGAGGTGGAATCTCTTTTCTTGCAGTTTGCATCCATTGTTTCGGGTCCTAGTCTCTGGAGCAGCAGAAAACAAGCTTGTTCCCTCCTCGATGTGACATCCCTTCAAATATTTAAACACGGCTATCATATCCCCTCTCAGCCTTCTCTTCTCCAGGCTAAACATCCCCAGCTCCCTAAGTCGTTCCTCCATAGGGCTTGGTTTTTGCATGGTAGAATGGGGTTGGACTGGATGGCCTTTGGAGGATCTCTTCTATGATTCATGCATGGAAATCTGGCTTATGAAGCCTGCAACAGGTGAAAGACAGAGGAAGAGAGAATGAAAGCACAATAGTGGCCCAAGCACAGAAATCCTCCTTTTTGCAGAGGCAGCATCACCCAACCAGCGCACCGTTTAGCCTTCTGGCTGGAGCGCCATAGGGGACGTGAGCCTTTCGGGATGAAAGCTTGTTGAACATGTTGTGCAACCGGTGGGAAAAGAACAGCAGACTCAATGCCGGAGAGTACAACAAAGGGAACCGGAATAACACCACCACCAAAAACCACAATGCCTTTTAAAATGTGAGCCTGCAGCCAGCCACATGGGGGTCCAAACCAAACCATTGATTTCTTCAGAATCTGGCTTAGAAGTGGTATGTGTGTGAGAGTTACTTCTTCTGGAAAGAACTTTACCTTTTAAATGGGAAGGAGCATTTAAAATGTCCCTTGCATTAAAAACAACAACAACCAACCACACATTTCCCCCCCCCCACCACCAGATGTTTTCTTGCTCATGCTCTTTTTATTGGGGTCATTTTGGAACTTTTTAAATTGTGTGTGCGGGGGGGGGATATTATAAAAATTTTCACTCCCTCCCACACTCTTGTTTTAGCATTTCTGTAAACCACACTGGTCTACAGAAGGAGCGCACCAAGGAATTCCAAAAGAAAAACAGCATTTACTTTATAGACGATAGCAAAGCCTTTGACAGCATATAGACCATGAAAGGCTATGGAATGCCCTTCAAGGCATGGGAGTGCCAACACATCTGATAATTCTGATGAGGAATCTGAACTCAGGACAAGAGGCTCCTGTCAGAACAGAAGATGGAGAAACAGAAT